AACATGTTTTTTTTCCAGTAAAAAATGCAAATTTAAAATCAAACATTTTCAAGCGATTATATGAATATTTGTAGAAGCGATTGGTGCATCGGTTGTAGCTTGGACTCCCAACCTCAAGGTCGGGGGTTCGAAACTCTCGCTGTGCAAATCGCTTGTGTCCTTGGGCAATCTACGGTTGCCTCTCTCCACCCAGCAGTACAAGTGGGTACCTGGTAGGTTCCAACACAACTGCGCTGATTACTAGCCGCAATATTATGGAATAATAATATAATTTAATTTAATAATTTAATTTGGATTTGAGCATGTGAACGACATATTATTATTATTATGTTGGCCATTTACCCGAGTATTTCTACAGTGCGATTATCTTGGAAATTATACAGAAAGCTGTTACCATGTAGTGCTCCAATAACAACCTTAGGAGATCCTGTCTTCACTGTACACTTATGTCTGTTCCATGTATGTTGATAACCAGTGTCACCTATAGTATGAAATCCATTTCCACATCTCATTTCTGGGTAGACTGAACACGTCAAATTACTGACAGAATATTGTGAAACCCCAAAACAGCTATTCATTAATATTATCCTGCTGTTTTTAAATTCCACAGCTGTTCATATAGTTGACCTGTAAATTTGGAACAACCTATTTTACATAAGACAACCTCTATTTCAAAAGTCATAAAAATTACAGAAACCTGTTAAGAAAATGTCTTGCCTAACCAATTACAAGACCTTTATGAGACCTGGTCTACCAGTAGACCCCTATTAAAGTTCCACTTGTAATCACTTCTGGCTAAACTTTATATTTTCGTTGGACTATGTTGGATTTGTAGAACAACTAGACTTGATTTCTGAGTAGAATTCACTATTTATTATCACTTTGTTCACTAGATGCAAAACCCTAATCCATCAAAACCAGATTAATTATAACATATTAAACTTGAATGTTTGTGGCTAGCCAGGCTACTTACAAAGTAGCATTTAATTATTGCAATGCATTAGGCCTACTGTATTAATTACTATTAAACTAATATTATGCAACGTTTATTTAGGGTAATGAAAGTACATGTACAATAATAAAATTGACAAAGCATACTAAAATTGATCTACCATAAAGTCCTGATTAAAACAACAATCAAATATAAATGAAAGATAAAATTATCAAAACATGGACAAAAAAATATAATACTTAATATTACACTAAAATACCAACATGGAAAGTGATTCAATTAAAAAAAACGTCTTAAAGGGTGTTTTAAAATTTGAAATATAAATAGAAGTTAAAATTTAAACATTATTGAAAAATAAATTGCCATAAGTACAGTACTTAAAAAAATTAAATGAAACCTTTAAAAATAGTGATTGTTCCAGCCTCTTGCAAAACATTCAAAATGATGAATATTAGTTTTACAGATGAATGTGTCAAAATAATTAAATGTAACCCATAGTAGAACACTAAGGCAGAATGCATCTAAATAACAATAATAATAATTTGTATAGCACCTGCCGTTGAACCAACCTTGAGGCGCTTGACAACAACTAACGAAAGAGACAAGAAATTATACCTAAACTCACAGAACAATTAAAGCTTAACCAAACTAAAACCAACATTGCACCGTTTATGGCTATTAGCAATTCAAAGCGTGTACAGTAGCATAAATAAATAAACAATATGCAGTCATACCCATTACAAAATGACATTGCTATGCCGCATGGTGGTGGTGGCCGCCTTTGCTACTAATATGAAAGATTAGATGTATTATATTATTTCATAGCCTAATGATGCATAGACTTCCAAATAGAAGTTCAAAGGTTACACTAACTGTAGGTTTACCCAGGATACATATTGCTACATTAAAATAAGATAAAATGATCAGGCCTAGGCACAGAAACATACTACAGTATGTGTATAGTAGGCCTACTTTGATCAAAATTACCTCCATGGAGCCTTAAGGCCCACTCAGACAATATAAATAATGTTATTAATTTTATTTTATGGTATTTTGAATTCTGATCTTTTTTCCTTTATTTCAAAAGGAAGTACTGCTCAACACAAAGCCAAATACAGATGTACATTGTTTTTGTTAAGCATTGCTTCCTGAAATCGCTACACTGATGCTACAGTGTTTTCAATGCAATCGCTGCACTGCGTAGCGGTACTCGACGCAATCGGGAAGGCTCCCCGATGCAAGTGACCAATCAGCATCATCAAAGCTGTCGCCGATAACATGTAGCGATTGTATGGAAACCAAGTTTTACTCTTTCTCTGTATTGATGCCCTAGGCTAACATGCATAAATTTCAAATTCTGCAAATATATCCAAGTACACGAGTACCACCAGTATGTGGTCATGTGGTCACTTTATACATCATACAACAGTTATTTAAACATTAAACTTAAAATATATAGTACGAGTAAGCACAAATTTATTGAGTTAATTAAATAGCTCTTTTATGTTAATGACCTAACATTTATGCAAATAAAAAATATTTTCCAAAATAGTTTTAACAGGCAATTCAGTCTATATCTTCTTATCTTGATAAATTTAATATTGGAAAATATTGATCATTTTTCTTTAATTTCATTTATCACCTAATCTAACTTGATAAATTTAGTAATACAGTAATACTCATTCAATTAATTTTTTTTTTACTCGAGTTCAATATGTATGAGACTGAAAGCAAGATGTGAGTTTGATTTCATAATTATTTTACTTTCATCATCACAGAAACTTAAAATGGTTTTCATGACAAAACAAATAACACTTTTATTTTTTAGAACAAAAACTAAATATTAAATTTTTAATTACTTTTGTGGTATACAAAACACTTCCACTAATGATGTCAATATAATTCACATTAAGTGATTAGTGTCAGTGATGGAGTTGTTTTTCAAAAGTTATTCATCATGTGACTTCATTTACTATTCATTGCATAATTAGAAATCTAGGGATATGAGCTTGGCTTCATATAAGCTCCATTTGATGGTAGAGCAACCCAATGGTAATCAGAGCATTTAAATCCAGATGGGGACAATATGTTTTTCTCAAATTATTATCTTTATTAGTTTATAATGAAAGGTTTATCTTTCACCGCAACATTTTGTGAAGTGTTATTTAATCACTAGGTATAATCATATAGGCGTAATATCAAAATGTTATCAATGAATGTACTGTAGTGTATATTAAACATACCTCTATGTGAAGTTCAACAGGGTTATGCAATCCCAAGTTGGCATACCCTTTGTGTACCTACTGTATGCTTTGGATACCTTAGCACCTTATGGCTATAAATCCCCATTCAACTTTGCTGTTTACTTACTGTATGATTAAATACCTTAGTAAGTAATGTATTGGAATTTAATATAGCACATTATACCAATGTCTCAATGGCAACAAAATAAGGTTGTGGGGAATAATTCCGATAAATATAAATTTTCATTCTAAACAAGGACTGACAAGCAAACAACAGGTTAAGAGCATGAATCTAGGCCTCTGTACTCAAGACTAGAGTGACTATTGACCCTGTGCCATTCGATGTTTGGTGTAATCATGCGATTAGAACAGTATACAGGAGGGCAAGGAAACAATAATGCACAGGAAGTAATAACATGTTAAATGTGTTTTAATGGACTACAGAACAAATAAGTTTATAAATGCTTTACCAGATAGTAGCTCTATTCACCAGGCACAAATTTAACTATCGTTTAAAGTGCAAAAATCTCTTGCCCAAATAAATTGTGAAGTATTGCAGCTCATTCGTATTAGTAGATTAGTGCATAGTGTCTGTTTAATTCAGGCATTAAGGCAGCCCTTTTAATAATAATTTGTGCTAATTAAGATTAAATTAATGATTAAACCTTTCCCACTTAGACGGATTGGAAAACCTAATCCCAGGATGCATACTGTAGTTTTAAGTATGTTGGTCATTAGACTTCAGTAAAATAACGTCCCTCAGATGCATAGTTTAGGTTGAGGTGGTGGTATGCGATTCACTAGATTTAAGTAGAATAACAACCCTATATCCCAGGATAAATATTTTGCTTAGGGCTTTAATTTGTGTCAGCAGAACCTTAGTGAAGTAATGTTGATGTCCCTACCCCCATGATGCTTAGTTCGGTTATTATAAGGTGCAAGATCCAGCACACTGAGACCTTACAGCAGTTGACCAACAACTCTATCCCATGATGCATTTTTAATTTAAGTTGTTTGATGATAAAATTTGTCTCAAGTTTTATGTTATTTATTTGATAGGATCTTACAATTAACAGAAACATAATTTATCATATGATATTTATATATAGAACATGAGTATGGCGACTCCAAAAAATGACAGACGTGAGGCCATAATTGATTCACTTATCGCCTCACGTCTGTCATTTTGGGAGTCACCATACTCATATTCTATTTGCGAATAATCTTTATATATATTGTACATTTCCTATAACAAGTCGAAAAAATTTTACTATGAACTAAGTTAAGGTGGGATATTAGGTAGTTTATGCCGCACGACATCATAATTTATTCATCTTGCGTTGCGAAGTACGTTTATTTCAGGATTTTGCATGCTTGACGTACGTTAGTTATGGGTTTGTGCATGTGTATTTCGATTTGCTTACAAAACGGGCGGAGCTATCACGTTGCATGTTGGGTACTAACGTTAAAGTTAACGTCGTGCAGGGAAAACAACCTATTGATGCCAGTATAAACTTAATGCATAATACATAATACACCAGCAGGCATAGTTGTCTAAAGCCGGGCAATAACTGCGTTGTCCAACCGTCGGCCGACAAATCTAATTCAGCCCCCTGTGAGGGCGTGACGATACATCACCGTCTGTTGATCGTCTGTATGTTCTCCATGGGATCGTGTCGGCCGAGAGCCGTCAGGTGCAGGGAGTGCCCGGCTTAATTACATTAATCAGATACTGGCCGGGTGATGACATTTACAGCAATAAATAATGAATTAGTGCACAGAGTAGAGCAAGTGGTAATACATACGTGATATGGAAAGCCTTCCCAACACTTCCTGGTGTCCCAAAACCAAGGTTCATAAGGTACATGCGTCATACCATACACCGAAGCTACCACGTAGAATAAAAAACGCCAACTGAAACATCAATTCATGTTGAGTTTAGAAATTCTCCAATACTGTACTATCTACAATGTATTCTTAAGTACCTACTAACTTTTTGTAGTGTTTAAGTGTGCCTGATACTTCTTTATTTTAACTTTTTTAATGTTTTTCATTTCTATGCCAAACTTGTGTCAAATGATACTAAGAACAGTGTTTGGTCTAAATTATAATATTTTTTACAGAGTGAAATTATTTAATTTGAACATTCAGGAGTTAGCTGTAATTCTAAAATATTGTGTGATGTTTTTATGTCACTGGAATAAGTCACTCCCATCTTTAAAAAAAAATTTTCTAAAAAATTATATGTATTTGGCACAAAAAAAATAAATATATATGAAAAAAAAAAACACATTTAAATAACAATATTGGAAAGTATACAACACTAGGAACAGGTCAAATTCCCATCAAAACATGCATCACATTGGGGAAATGCACACAATACTTACGACTTTGCTCTGTTAAACTCTCTACAATTGATTGATGTTCTATTGTTTATATTCAAATAAAATGTCACAGTTGGCTAAGATGTACAGTAGAGCCCCTCATTTACTAACCCCAATTTTACAAATTCCCGATTTTACGAACGTAAAAATCATGTCACTGTTGTCATAAATAAAGTTTGTATTTCATGTACAAAACACACATGTGTGTCAAGACTTAATCGTTAGGCGCATGATGAAGTTTATTCACTCGGTCTTAGACGGTTTGCTGTACACTATCAGCGATCTCTACTATAATACAAAATGCAGATAATGCGCTTTGAATACACCGACATTCAACACGGCAATCCTATTTCATGTCTGCAGCCGCGAGAAAACTCCGCCCAATGCGTAAGTTGTCGGCATATCGATGAAAGTGAATGCTATTCACTTTCAAGTTTGTTTACAAACACTGTCCACTGAATAAATCATGTGTGTCTTAGCCCTAACTCTTACGTAATAGAAAAGACAAAATAATCTTCGTAATTAACCCACCTACCAAATTTATTTTAACAAATGATATTCGAATAAATTTCACACGTGCGATTACTATGTAGCATATAGGCCTACAGTCACGATTAGGTTCAACTTATAATTTTAATTAAAAATGGATTTTATTTGTCAAATCTCACTAACGTTAATCTATCATTTCATTATTTTCCCCATTAAATAACACACTGACACCCACATTTTCTTTTTAACTTTATTATTCATTATATAAATGTTAATGTAGACATAGAACAATCATATTGCATACAAAAAAAAAAAAGTCCAAGTGCTGTGTCTACAGCCAATCAGCGCTCTTCTTTTAATAAGTGAACCCCTGGTTTCCAGGTTATTCTCTACAGGTATTTACTTGACGCCACAAGAACATGAATGGAGTGAAAAACGTTGTTGCGTTACTTGCCCTGTTGCGGCGTCCACAGAACTGTAATTTTTTCGTTAGCTAGAAGATAAATCATATACTGTAGGCCTATTAATAATATTTGTATACACATTAACAAGTATGTATAGTACTGCACATTTATGATCATTATTTTGAATTTCTTTCGAGCGCAAACTTTTGTTCCAATCCAACAAAATTCCAGTCCAGGCCTAGCCTAGCTCAGCCTAGTATATCGGTAGTGTAAATACATAGGAATTTCACACAACCCCGATTTTACATACAAATGATTTTTAAGAACGCCTCTAGGCCCGTCCTGTACGTAAATGAGGGGTTCTACTGTATATCAATCAATTACTCAATCCAATTTACATTGACAGTCTTAATGTAGGGTTGGTATAGCAGGTCTACTATCTGCATCATTTAAGGACTGCTTGTTGGCCTAGGTTTTAAACAAAACAACATCCACACAATAGCATTATCAGTGGACAAACATTCTAATAATTACGCATAGATATGTTTGCACTTTTTAAAAACTGCATTATTTATTATTATATTATGATGGTTAGCATTCGAATTTACAATTCATTTTGAGTTCAGGTTACCTGGTTTCTGAAAACTTTGTCAAGGTGCTTGGCCGCCCATAGTTCCTGCGAATTCGAAACCATCTTTCTACTTGTCTTTCAGACCAATCAAGCTGCTTTGCAAGACCCGTTAGCCGTGCTTTATCTGGATTATGGGTGACGGAATTATATGCTTTTTCCAGAATCGTGTTTGGTTCAGGTTTACGATTGGGGTTCTGTTTGATTCCCAGGAGTCTTCCAAATGGCATACCAATCAACCTTCAATAGAAAAATGAATTGAATCCATTAAATATTAAAGCAATGTGCTAATGTGCATTTATCTGTGTGGTAAATGACAACAATGCACGTTAATGTATACTTATCTATGTAACACCAATGCACGTTAATGTATACTTATCTATGTAACACCAATGCATGCTAATGTACCTAGTACAATTATCTGTGATATTTATGTAGACATCTATTAAAAAATAATGCATGGCTCATGAAATGTTTAACACTGCAATTTTATAACAAAATACAAGATAAAATCTCATTTGTCCCTATTAAAATAGAATTCTTCCTATCTTCCTATATATACAAGATTTGGTGTTAATAATAAAATAAATGATAACAAAAACAATGAAAAATACAGAAATAATAATAATAGTTACAATATATCGATTTTGGTATTGACAATTGGAGATGAAATGTAACTGATTATAATTCATATTATATCATATTATCTACTCATGGAATCTTAACAAATCTCTTAAAACAAACAAATACTACAAGTATTAAACAATTACGTTCTTTTATTGCAACATAAATGCTTTGTTTTATAGTAGCAGATTTCCAACACTGCAAAAGTCATGTAAAGTCAAGTGAGCCAGCAGTAATGCAAAATCAATTATATGAAAATACAAGTAGTTTGAATCTTTGCATGCAACCAACATCTTAAGTGCTTAGGCAAATTAACAAGCTATTGTTCCATTAATATTAATTGTTCGGAGCTCTGATATCTTTTATTTTTTAAAACTGTTTACCATGTTGGCAAGGAAACCTTCACTGTGTAGAATCAATAAAGTTAAAGTTCACTAAACTTCTTATTAAATATCCATAAAACAGCTAAATTTATTGGCTACAGAAATTCACAATCATTTATGTTGATTGTAAATGAATGATTCCGTTAAGACCAAAACAAATTTGTTGTTGCCCAGTCAAGTAACTTTTGAAAACCAGAGCCAGTCGATCAGTAGTTTTTGGTAAAAATTGCTCATGGTGTAGAAATACTGTTCGTAGTACAGGTACCAATGGTTAAGTACCAATTTAATGCTTTACAGTATGAAGTGTTAACCTTTTGGTATTTCGTATGCAAACATTCATACAGGAACTTTGCAATCAATAATAAAATCTTATCATTGTACAGTGTACACCTACAGTGTTAATGTTGTAAAGGTAAACAGTGGAGTTGGGATCAATTTGACCTCTGATCAGTAATGAGTACATAAAGATGTCTGCATGCAAAATTCAATAAAAACAATGAATAATTTATTAGCAGAATTAGAAGATATCTCATTGATAAGTATAAGGCTACCACCTCCTAACTCTAGACAATAAAAGAATTGCATGCTGATAAAATAAACAATTTGGATAACCTAGGCACATTTTAAACAATTTGGGAGAATTTTAAAAGTAAAACTTATTGAAACACACAGAAACAAATCAGAATGAATTTTATTGTCATGAAATTCCAAGGTTAGTCACACATGCTTTTAACACGTTGACTGCCAGACCTTTTTTTACGGTTCCTTCCTGTGTGCCAAAACAAGTTTACATGTACAAACATACTTTTTTGAAATTTTATCTTAGTCATATATCATCAAATAATAAATTGGCGGGAAAATATTAGGGGGCGAGTATACTCGTCGATGGCACTGTGATAGAACTTTTTACTCACTATGCCAAGTGCGAGTTATCTCGTGTTCTTTTTGCATGGGTTGGTATATGTTCAAAGGGCGCCCCCACTTGTACCGCTCGAGTGTACTACCGGCAACATAACACAACAACATACATATGTCATTTGTACGTTATCGTCTAGGTGTATCTTCCCCGAACTACCAGCCGTTGAGTCTGTGGTCCTACTATAAACGCTAGAATGTTCCCCCGTTTTTGACGAGTATACTCGTTCCTGGCACCCTCAGCAACACCCTGTGGGCGAGTATACTCGTCGTTGGCAGCCAACGTGTTAAAAAGCAAAGTTGATTTTGGTAAATTCTATGTAAAATCACAAATTATTGATGGTACTATAGGATAGGGCTACAGTTTGGCACTAATGAACTGTCTTCCACCACCACTTCTTAGAGCTTCAGGAATACAAAGCATTCCAAAAGTATAAGTTCTCTATTTAATAATCTTAGTAATAATGCTTGCTACTGTATGTCCTTCAGTATCCATTATTCATTATTACCAAATAAAAAGTTCTTGTCTACACATTTACCTGGGCAGATTCAGATTTTTTTAGATGAGAATGCAACAATTTCATAGGCTTACCGAATCCTTAGTTAGATACAGATAAATTGTATAAAAGTATTGTAGTTCCCCGGGTACAGTCCAAAATCGGGTATAATCTCACCCGACTTTACGCCCAACTTCGCGTACAGGTATTTTACTGGGCAAAGTCCCAATAATTTGGGTAGTGAATTTTACAAATGCTCATAAAAAAAATATAGGAATTGGCTCCGAATTCGGTAGACCCTTCCAATTGATTAGACCAGACGTAAGTTGACGTAAAGTTGAATACAAAGCTCATCCTTGTAAATTCTTGTTATTTATTGTTGCTAAAAATAACCAACAGCTAACTGTGGCTAAAAAGGCAAAAAATGCAATTAAATTGTCTTGCGTTGGAACGGCCATGTGCGGTCTTTCACATTGCATGATGGGTGACTGGATTGGATAGTTATCTCCGTAAATGTTGCCTATAGTTCACCTGCAGTGTAATGGGCGGCCTGCAGGGAATTTTAAATAAAATTGGCAGTACTGTACTCTATTCATTCTTAAGACAAGGTTAGGCCTAGCCCGAGGTACTGCAAGACCAAGAGTACGGTGTTCTCTCCCCATTTGATGCCTGAGTAAAGTCTGATTTCTTTACTGGAATATACTGTAGTTTTGGATAGGCTATTGAATTGTAGGGCAAATGAACCTGCCACTTAGCAAAATGATCGTCATTTTTGGTTCATGCACAGGGAAATCCCCAGGTATAAACTCACCCACCCCCCCCCCTTCCTCCAAAATCGGACCAATTTTACATTCATGAGGGGTGGGTATACCCAGGGAACTACATAATGGTATGAATCCTGTACAGTTTCATGAAATGTTGTATAAGTATTTTGATGCCACTTTCTGTGAAAAAATAATAGACAGTCAGTGGAAGAACGTCCCTGAACTAAAAAAAGTAGTATAAATAGTGCCTTCCCCCTCTCATTACTGGTGAGAGGGGGTTTAAGTAAATAGTGCCTTCCCTTGCTCATTACTGGTAAGAGGGGGTTTAAGTAAATAGTGCCTTCCCCCTCTCATTACTGGTGAGAGGGGGTTTAAGTAAATAGTGCCTTCCCTCTCTCATTACTGGTAAGAGGGGGTTTAAGTAAATAGTGCCTTCCCCCTCTCATTACTGGTGAGAGGGGGTTTAAGTAAATAGTGCCTTCCCTCTCTCATTACTGGTGAGAGGGGGTTTAAGTGGTGCCAGTGCCCTGGGAGAAAACAATTTTAAAAACAATGAGGTGTATTTAGGAAAAAATATTCTAAATGACATTCAGATAGTCAATGTAATTACAGTATCTAGTACATAATACTTAGACAACTAAATGGTTTAATTAAATTTCTTTTGATCAAATTGCCTGACCGAGTTTATATTCTATTTTCACAATAGATTTTTCTCAAGAGTGACGTTATCTACTCTCTGTTATTACATCTGTAATCGTCCGAATTACGCATCTAATTACATTATAAAGCTATAGCTTCGGGGGCTTTTCCCCCGGATCCCCTCACGACAGATTTTGTGTACAGACACATTATATCTACATGATGCATTCTTCTATTTTATGCAACTACATCACAGCGCATCATGGACATTACATCTCCACATTATGTAAATTATGCATTCTCTAATTAGATTTTGCAACAACATAATCATCAATGCCACACATGTATTATATACCACTTAACATTTCATCTACAACAATCAAGGGTTTAGCCAGCGTCATTTGGATGGCCAAAAATTATTTAGGACAGCCACTGAAATGGCTTGGCCTACTCAGCTCAGCCTAGCCGGGCCTGGTCTAGCTTTAGCAAATTCTTTATATTCTTGAAATCTATCAATGTTGCACTGCATTAAACTAAAGCATTTTACGTTCGATAAACAACCTTTGGAGACTTAAACTTATTGTTGTTTTTCATAATGACATTCAGTCGGTATTCTCAAAAAGGCTAGGCTAAACCATTGTCTACCCAGTGGAAATTTCTCTTACAACAAGTGCATGTTGCATTAAAAACATATTTATAACCACCTGGAAAATGGACGGTTCTAATTCGCCCACAATGCATGTACGTGGTTTTGCAAATTTACAGTACTTGAGATTAGGTTCTCCAAGATATAGTTTTGTTCATAACTCCCCGGTTGTAATTAATTCATAAAATACCGTAAAGCAGATTTGTTGTTAACATCAAAAGTTAAATTTTAATAGTCAACAAAACAGAGTAAGCCTAGGCCTATACATCTCTCGATTCGGAGGCCCTAGAGAAGAACTTACACTAGACTAGGGCAGGAGATGAAGATGCATCTACATAGTAGGTATCACAAGTGATTTTTTTCTTATGTCTAGATATGTCTAATTCTATTTTATTCATAAGGAGACAAAAAAAAGAAATAAAATACTTTTTATTTGAAGCAAATCGGCTGAATACTTTTCATTTTATGAACAATTTTGTATTTTACTGAGATGAGGAACTAAAGCCTCAATCGCACTGGATTTATTTCAGTAAAAGTAACCGTCTTGTCGGTAAGTTTGACCGAAAAAATCCAGTGCGGATAGTCACGCTCGGTTAACTTGACTGTCGCCGCCGGTTATTTTTCGGGAGTGAAATTTACTCAGGAATTCCTACCGAGCTACTTTGACCAGCCTTGAAAATCCAATGCGAACAGCCACAAGTCCGTTAAATTAACCAAATCCCGAGCCTCATTGTTCATTGGGTGACCTTTATCGTTCTGTGAAGCACTGGCG